CGCGTCAGGGGGAAAGCCAAGGAAGACGCAGGGAATGGCGCGGGAGGAGAGCTTGTCCGCGGAAGTATTGCGGACAAAGGCACGAGAGCCCCAGACCCGGAACACCGACGCATCGCCAACCTTCCTTGTCCAACGCAGTGTAGGCGAGGTCTCCGGCAAGGAGACACGGGGCCAGAGGTTGAGCTGATGCGTAGCGTACCGGACCGCAAACGGCCACAGAAAATGGGGGGCAGCCGCATGGATCATGGAGGTACGAGCGACCTCCATGACTAAGCCAATGCGGTGCTCAGCAACCCCATTCTGCTGCGGAGAGGCCGGAAGCGTGAGCGACTGGAGAATGCCCTCCCCACGACAAAAGTCCCGCAAGAGGTCGGAGGAAAACTCACCACCTCTGTCAGAGTGCAGACGCAGGACGGGAAGGTCCGTGTCGAACCGCTCGCGGAGCTGGAGACGGACAGCGCGGATCCAAGGGATCAAAACATCAAGGACCTCCCCCTTGCTGCGCAAGGGGAAGACCGTGGTGTAACGCGAGTTAGTCGTCAACAACCAGCAGAAAGTAGCGCTCGCGGCCCTGTCCACGGACGCGGGCTGGGCCCCACACGTCCATGTGGAGAGTCTGCAGGGGAGCTGTCGTCGGGGGAAACGAGGAGGAGTGAGGAGCGGCGCGCTGCCGCCCCTCGACACAGGGAAGGCAGGGAGGGGCAGGCGAGGGTGGGAGGGGAGGCAGAGACTTGGGAAGTCCAGAGACAAGGAGATGGGAGTGCATGCCACGGAGGCGAGGCACTGAGGGGTGACCAAGGCGATGGTGCCAAAGGAGCGTCCGATGCGACAGGGCGCGACACGAGCAGGGGGGCGCTAGCTGACCTGACGCAGACGTAGACACAGCTACCTGGGGGGGGCTCAGTAGTCAGTGTGTACAGACTCGACCCAGGCCGACGGGTGAACGTGGCCAGGTGACGGCCAGTCCGGGAGCACGTACAGATCGTCACACGCTGTCCGCCAGGGGTGAAGGTATCAACCCATTCATCCTGAAGGACGGCGGTGCTCACCAAGTTCGTAGAGAACGAGGGGAGGTGAAGACCTGACAGTGAGCCAGACGGAACCACCGGACACGGGAGAACAATGGAGGAACGGGCAAGAACTGGGCCTCCAGAGGGGTCAGCCAGTCTGACAGCAACAGGTGCAGGGAGTGGTGTGACTGTGGTACTGTCGCGAAAGAAACAGCGGGAAGCACCTGAGTCAAGCGTGAAGGTGTGCAAGGCCTCAGCAAACGCAGTACCAGAGAGAGCAGACTCACCAATACCTGGAGCAGACTCACCAGCACCTAGAGCAGACTCACCAGCACCTAGAGAAGCAGCCTCTATACCAGGGTCGGGCGGTACACACAGGTAACAGTCACCCTGAGTACTAATAGTCAAAGCATACATGGCAGTGAGGATAGCGTCATAGTCTAGAGCAAAGATATCCACCCTCTGCCTAAGTAGCTCCAGCCAGGTGGGGAGCTTAGCCGCGTCCCCAAACTCTGCACGCCAGGCGTCGCTCAGACAGGGGAGCAGCGGGACTGTGTGTGACCAAGTGTCCCGCAAGTCTGACCAGCCCGATCACATGTGCGAATGACGTACGGGCAGCGAGCAGTACTCCGAGACGCCCCACGCTGAGCGAACCACTCACGAAGCTGCTGGGGCGTAAGGGTCTCGCGTGGACGCCGCTGCAGCTGCACCAGGCCACCGCCAGAAGCTCCCGACTGAACAGCTGCACAGCGACTGCCACTACTGCCGCCGCCACGACTCCTACTAGTGTACCACTCACGTAGTTGCTGGGGCGGAAGGGTTTCGCGCGGACGCCGCTGCAGCTGCATCTGGCCACCGCCAGAAGCTCCCCACCGAACAGCTCCACAGCGACTGCTACTACGGCCTCCACCACTCCCACTGCTGCCACCACCGCCGTCACCACTCCCACCGCTACTACGAAGAGAAGTCATAGTGGGCAAGCAAGGAGGCGTGCGACCAGTAGGGCAGCACGGAGGGAAGGCAGTGCGGCGAGCAGGCACTAGGGTAGGTCGGGGTGGCGCACGGTCAGGGAAGAGCGGCACGCGGCCAGAGTAGGGCGGCGCGCTGCAGGCAGGGTCGGCGCGCGGCCAGCAGGGCGGCGCACGGGCTGCAGAGGGCGGCGCGCGGGCAGGGCAGGGCGTGTGCGGGGCAGCGCGACGCGGGGCAGGGCAGGGCGTGCGTGGGGCAGCGCGACGCGGGGCAGGGCAGGGCGTGCGCGGGCAGCGCGACGCAGGGCAGGGCGTGCGCAGGGCGGCGCGACGTGGGGCAGGGCAGGGCGTGCGCGGGCAGCGCGACGCAGGGCAGGGCAGAGCGCGCGCTAGGCAGCGCAGGGCAGGGCAAGGCAGCGCGGCAGCCAGCAGGGCGGCGCGCGGGCAGGGTAACGCGACTGGTGGGGCAGCGCGACGAACACGGTAGGGCGCTACGGGCAGGGTAACGCGCTACGGGCAGGGAACGATTCGGTGGGCCCTAAAAAAAAACGGTCCTAGGTCAGGACCTGCTCTGAAACCATGTCAGAATAATGAACGAGAATGAGTGAACTAGCAGCATGCAGGAGTACAAGTAGCAAACCCTAATTGGGTTGTACCCCATATGGGCTACCCCACTACAGCCTACACAACATGCAGCATATAAGCGCATCCTGCGCATCTACACTATAAAATGTCATATAATTTGTCCCATTCATTCTATTCGATTTTAGGCCAGTGCATGTTTTCAAGGTTTATTGCTGCACACGCCAACCGGGGGGGTCATGTGATATAGCATAGCACCAATGCTGATTTGTACGTCATGCTCAAATCCCATCACAAAACACCTTATCAAACTGCCATGATACAAGTGAAGAGTCTCATGGAAAAGTATGTCAACATACAGTATGAAAAAATAAATCATATACTTATCACAAAATTCCTCAAGCAGCCCAGCACTTGTGATCACACTACCAAATCCGAGTCATTTCACCCAAGGGCACCAGGCATATGCATGGCTCAAGGATCTTCAATTTCACTCAGGCCATCCAGCACCCTGCTGATGCCATCTGGAACCCTGCTGATGTCATCTGGCACCTTGCTAATGCCATCTGGAACCACGCTGATGTCATCTGGCACCTTGCTGATATCATCTGGGACTAGATGCAAGGCATCCAAGCACAGGCTGGCAAAGGGAGCTTCCGAGTTTTGTCTTCTGACGGTTATGCTGCTAGTTGGCCATTGCCCCATGACACAGCTGTTTGTGCTCACTATTGTACTCTCACTATTCATGCTACTCCTGCTGCTGCTCATAATGCTGTTGTGCAGGCCAACAGGGTCCACATGGCCAGTCTGGTCTATCCTGCTGCTGTTGGTGGCAGTGCCGTTGTTACCGCTGCACTGATTGCACAAACCAGGGCGGTCGCTGCAAGCGCAGCTACAGTAATTTATTGTCGAAGCAAGGCAGGCACTGCTACTGTTGAAGCAAGCGCTGCTGCTGTCGATTCTGCTAATAGGGGGTACAGAAAACAGATGACACTGCTCTGTGTCCAGCCCCTCTGTATAGTCCCAGCTGCGATCGTGGCAGCCATTGCTGCTGCCTCCACCATCCCCCATTGATGCCACTATTCTCTGCCCAAACTCCATATCTTGTTGCCTAGCCCCTTCTTGCCTTGCCTGAGCATATACAGCAGCGTCATTTGATGAAGTGCCTGCACATGCTGCTGTGGCAGTGGCAGCACTGCTGCCTGCTGACGTGGCTAATCCAACACGTGCTGACGTGGCAGCACCGTCAGCTGGCTGTAGAAACGCGTCGCTTTGCTGAAAGGACGGGACCTCTGGAAGGTGAAGGCCATCTTTGTGTGTGGAAGCGTCATCGTACGCAGTGTTAGCGGTTACAATAACAGAATGAGTAGTAATGTCAGGAATGAGAGGAGTTAAGTTTGGAAAATGAGCTGTTACTGCAGTACTGAGAGTAGGAGTTACAGTAGTTGTAATGCCAGTAGGAGTCACATCAGTAAATTGACTTGTAATGTGAGTAGGAGTCACATCAGTAGAATGAGTTGTAATGTCAGTAGAAGTCACATCAGTCAAATGAGTTGTAATTTTTGCAGTGTGAACGCATAAACTTGCATTCATCTGCGGTGGTAACTGCTCAGTGCAAAAAAGGGACGTGGAGGGCTGCTGCTGGTTTTGGTGTTGCTGCTGCTGTTGGTGGTGCTGTTGTTGTTGTTGCTGCTGCTGTTGGTACTGCTGCTGTTGCTGCTGCTGTTGTTGCTGCTGGTGTTGCTGCTGGTGTTGCTGCTGCTGTTGTTGTTGCTGCTGCTGTTGGTACTGCTGTTGATGCTGCTGTTGTTGCTGCTGCTGCTGTTGTTGCTGCTGCTGTTGGTAGTGCTGTTGCTGCAGCTGCTGTTGCTGCTGCTGTTGTTGCTGCTGCTGTTGTTGTTGCTGCTGTTGGTGGTGCTGTTGTTGTTGCTGCTGCTGTTGGTACTGCTGCTGTTGCTGCTGCTGTTGTTGCTGCTGCTGTTGCTGCTGCTGTTGCTGCTGCTGTTGTTGTTGCTGCTGCTGTTGGTACTGCTGTTGTTGCTGCTGCTGTTGCTGCTGCTGCTGTTGTTGCTGCTGCTGTTGGTACTGCTGTTGCTGCTGCTGTTGTTGCTGCTGCTGTTGTGGTTGCTGCTTCTGCTGCCCCTGGCGTTGTTGCTGCTGCTGCTGTTGTTGCCGCTGTTGTTGCTGCTGCTGTTGCTGTTGCTGCAGTTGTTGCTGCTGTTGTTGCTGCTGCTGTTGCTGTTGCTGCAGTTGGTGCTGATAGTGATGCTGTAAGAGCAGGGGCTGAACCGCCTGCTGCTGCTGCTGCTGCTGCTGCTGCTGCTGCTGCTTCTGCTCTTCCAGAACACCTGACCTTAGACTGTCAGCAACGGCGTAACCTTTCTCTGCTGCTGCTGCTTCTGCTGGTGGTGGTACTGCTCCTGCTTGCGCATGGGGCATGTCAAAGTACCTGCTGTTGCTGTTGCTGTTGCTGTTGATGATGCCTGAGGAATGCAAACGAGGAAGCGGAGGAAGAAACGGCGGGTGAGTGGTGGAGAAACGGGTGGGGAGAGGAGGGGGGTGATGGAGCGAGGGGAAGGAGGCATCGATGTTGCTGGGTGACCCGGATGTGAATCGAGTATGGTAGAGAGGAGCATGGACGGTATGGTAGGCAGATGTATCAGGGAGAGGAGACACTGTAGCAGGAGGAGGAAGGGCTGTGGCAGGAGCAGGAGTGGAAACTGTAGCAGGAACAGGAGGCACTGTAGCAGGAACAGGAGGCACTGTGGCAGGAACATGAGGTACTGTAGCAGGAGCAGGATACAGTGTAGCGGGAGCGCGAGACACCATTGAAGGAGCAGGAACTGTAGCAGGAACTGTAGCAGGAACTGTAGCAGGAACTGTAGCAGGAACGGGGTACATTGCAGCAAGAGCAGGAGGCACCGTAGCAGGAGCAAGAGGGACCAGAGGCCCGGTCACAAAGGCATCCGATGTGGCAGCGGGAGCTTCAGGCGATTGCAGCACCTGGCTTAGCGGTGCATGTGGGGGGCTGAACGAGAAGGCTGTAGCAGAAGAGAAGGCCGAAGCAGAGGCGAAGGCTGCAGCAGCAGAAAAGGTTGTAGCAGGCGTGAAGGTTGTAGCCGGGGCAGAGGCTGTAAAGGCTGTAGAAGAAGGAAAGGTTGTAGTAGAGTTGAAGGTTGTAGCCGGGGAAAAAGGTATTGTAGGCACTAATGCTGTAGCAGGGGTTAAGGCTGTAGCAGAGGAGAAGGCTGTAGCAGAGGAGAAGGCTGTAGCAGAAGGAAAGGTTGTAGCAGACGAAAAGGTTGTAGACGGGGCAGAGGCTGTAGTAGAGGCTAAGGCTGTAGCAGAAGGAAAGGTTGTAGTAGAGGTGAAGGTCGTAGCCGGGGCAAAAGGTATCGGAGGCACTAATGCTGTAGCAGGGGTTAAGGCTGTAGCAGAGGAGAAGGCTGTAGCAGAGGGTAAGGCTGTAGCAGAGGAGAAGGCTGTAGCAGAGAAGGCTGTAGCAGAAGGACAGGTTGTAGCAGACGAGAAGGTTGTGGACGGGGCAGAGGCTGTAGTAGAGGCTAAGGCTGTAGCAGAAGAAAAGGTTGTAGCAGAGGTGAAGGTTGTAACAGGGGAAACGGCTGTAGCCGAGGCTATGGTTGTGGTAGAAGAAAAGGTTGTAGCGGGAGTGGAGTTAGTCGCAGGGGAAACTGTAGCAGTAGAGGCAAAGGCTGTAGCAGAAGAGGGGCCTGCTGGCGTGGAAAGGCAGCTGACGGCAGGAAACCCTGCGATAAGCGCCTTGGGAGGAACTGGATCGGGTGGCGGGTGGTTGTGTGAGCCAAAATATGCCACCCGCACCACCACACGCATCTCCGTCCTGTCCGAACCTGTGTCGTCTTCTTCTGCCCGTCCTGCTACAGCCTCACTGCTTCTAGCAACCAGTTTGGTTGTACCTGCAGAAGTGCAAGCAGCTGTAGCACTGGCTGTAGTTGGGCCTTTCGCACTGGCTGCAGTTCTTGAGACGGCTGTGGCTTTTGAGATGGCGCCTTTCAGCCTGGGGCGGCGCGGGTGACGAGCCTCGCCTGCCACTCGATCCTCAACTTTCTTCGCCGGGCAGCCCGTGACGTGCTTGGATGCGCAAACGTAGTAGAGCCTGCAAGGAGGAAGAGAGAAAAAGGCGTGCAGAACATAGCAGGGGACAACTGAAAAAACGCACACACACTGGAAAGGGAGTATGGAAGCCGTTCTGGCGACAAGAAAGGACCAGAGAGGACCAGTGACTACCGGAGCCGACCGGAGCCGACCAGAGCCGACCGGAGCAGAGCCAACCAGAGCGAAGAATGATGTCGAGCCTGGCTAGCGCCGATCAGTGCCGCTTGGAGACGAATAGAGCCGACCAATGCCGATCGTTGCAAACAGAGTCGAACCAAACCGATCCGGCCCGACCAGCGCTGAGAAGTGCGGACCAGCAGAGGCCAGTGATGAAGAGTGCCAAGCAGAGAAGAGCAGAGCAGGAAAGAGCAGAGCAGAGCAAAGTAGAGCAGAGCCGAGCCGAGCCGAGGGGAGCAGAGCAGTGCAGAGCAAAGCCGAGCCGAGCCAAGCAGAGCCGATCGGGGCAGAGCAAAGGCAATGCGAGGCGAGCAACGCAGAGAAGAGCAGGGTAGAGCAGAGCAGAGCCGAGCAATGCCGAGCAGAGCAAAGCCGGGCAAAGCGGTACCGTGCAGATAGGATTCACGTTCATTGCTCACAGCTGTTACGGCCGACGACTTGCATTGCACACCCTAATGCCCCGGCCGTCGATGCGCAACAAATCTTGTGCAACTTGGGCTGCGGGCTGTGGAGTCTCTTCGCCTGCATACAGTGATCTCTCCTGCGCTGCGCATGCATTCAGAAACCTCTCCTGCCAGACTTGTTAAACCCCATGCGATGTGTGTAAGACAGACCAAGACTTTGTAGTACCTCTTTACAGGCTGATCCGCTAGTCGCTGCTTGTGCTAGCCCCTTCTCCAAGCTGACCCGTTCGCTTGTGCTTACCTCTTCACAGGTTGACCCGCTATCCGCTTGTGCGACGTCTTCTTCCATTTGAATCGATCCACTTCACGGTGTTGATGCTGATGCAGCTCAGATGCCTCATGCTGCTGCTGCTGCTGCTGCTGCTGCTGCTGCTGCTGCTGCTGCTGCTGCTGCTGACGTGGCAAACCTCCATCAATTCCTTCGCCCATGGGCCAATCCCGTAGTGGTGGCAGCTCACGCGCTAAGGCACCACCATGGTGCTGCGCCTCCTGATTCGGTGGTGGCGGTGATAGCAGGTGCTGAAATTTCTTTGTCGTCTTGTACTGTACCTCCTCGCACTCGCCTTGCTGCTGCTTCTGCTCCAGCGGCTGCTGCTGCTGCAATGCGGCGGCGGCGGCGGCGGCGTGAGATGATTGCGCCGCGGCGGCGCCAGCGCCAGCGCCGCCAGCTGCAGCAGCTGCGGCGTGCATCGACGGCGCCGCCGGAAGTGGCGGCGCACGACGAGCGGCGGCGGCGTGTGAGTAGTAATTTGACTCCGAGTGAGATAAAACCGCGAGTCGCCACAGAAGATCGCGCAGATTCGAGTCAAAACAGCCTGGAGGAGTCAGACCGCCGGCGTGATCGATGATAGTACTAGTACTACTAGTCGCCGTGGGTCAGGCTGACTCCCGACTCGGGTGATCGTGTCCGACACGCGGGCTCGGGGCCTACCAGAGCGGCCGCACTGCGGGTGGCTTTACTCAGGTGAGCCGCGGAACCCGGTACTATGCGGAAACTATCTCAGGTAGTACCGAATACACACAGAAAGTCCGCCATCATACAAAATATCCCAGTTGAAGGCAATGTAGTGCTCGGGCGGTAGTCATGGGAATAGTAGTAGCGTTCAATGATGCTGTGGCTGAGATGGAAAACGTGTAAACCCTAGGCTGGATAAACCATGCGATCGGAGACATCATGTCTAGTAATCGATCATCGCGGCCTAGTAATCTTGAATTTCCTAATTCGACATCCTGAAATCACCTGACGCTTGGATGATCCTAACACTGTACGGAATGCGATGCGACGGACAGTAGGAAGGGAAGTAGACGAGATTAATAACGCGTGAAAGCCGTGGCACGCGTGACATATTACAGTACATCAGACCACCATAATCTAGCAGCGGGAGTGGCAAGGAACAACTGCTTGTTGTCAATGTCAACGCTTTGACACTACAGTTCGAGCAAGTGCCCCCTGCTGCACAATGCCCTCCCTCCCGGTCCCGACCGACTGAACATCGAACTGTTGAGGAAACAGACATGAGAGTGAGGGAACAGACATGAGAGAGTTGCTTCACCTGGAGGGAAAGCTGGCGTACATGAGGAACAGACACGGGAGTGAGGGAACAGCAACCTGCCCGTGTACGGTGAGTCCGCTGGTGGTTGACATTGTTTATCTTGACACAAGTGTACACACCTGATCTGGTTGTACAAAGCCAACCCATTACTTTTATCACGCCCTAAAGGAATTATTTGATTCGACGAACTGTAGTTCTGGTTCAGGGGTAAGAAAGAAAAGGGCAAGTGTGTGGAATTGCTGCCAATCACACGGAGCCTCAGTTGCATGGGGGTCCAGCTGTTGCGGGCAAGAAGCGAACTTCCAGCATCGGCTTGTCTTACGCGACGGCAGTATGGGAACTGGCTGAGAACAAGTTTGTGCATAATTTTGGGAGTCGAAATTTATGGTTTAGCCACATATAGTCCAAATCAGTACGCACTAATAGTTTTCTGGAGTTGTTTCAGTTTTACAAATAGTGTAAATAACGAAACCCCTACCAACCACCAATCTCCAAGCAGTGACGTTCATTGATGCTACTGGCGGTGATACTTTGGCGTATTTCAGGATTCTGTTGCATGTGACAAAATGACAAGCGGGCTGTTCATTAGCACCGACACAAACGCAAAAGATCGTGCGAAAGCAACGGAGCCCTTTACCAACGGGGCACTATACACAAAACGTGTATCACGGATGGTCACTCGGCTATCGCGAACGGTCACTCGGCTACACCCTCATTCTCGATAGACTGGCATATGTTTGACTGACCGGGACGCCTAGTGTAACCGCAACGGACCAAAGAAGGTCCTATCACATTTGTTATAGTGACAATTTGACCCAAGGCGGTCAGTCAGGGTTTCAAACTTTAACAAATGGTACTGTCGTTTTCAAAACGGTTGGGACGGCTATTAAGCGTTAACGGTTTTTTACCGCCCAAGGCTTGTTTCGTCACCTCGTGCGACTTTGCCCGCAACCGAGTTATCGCACCAACTCGCTACGTCCAAACATTGTAGCCAGTGCGCGCGATGGTGAGAAGGGTGAGAGGGAGGGTGTATCACAATATTCACGGATAATCACACGTTGCCCCATGGCTATCACGTATGGTCACTCAATGAAACGTTCAATGGAAAGTTGAACCTTGATCTGTAGAGATTCAGAAAATCGCGCGCGAACAAAGGTTACCGCCAAAATCAGTTTGCGACCACTTCTGCAAACACGTTTAAAACGGACATAATCGTGTCTTATACCCGCTGCTCATTTATATCCGTAGTGAGTCGCGAATCAAAGCCTAATAAGTCGAGTATTATTGACATAGTTGGCTACTAACAGTTAAAATTAATGTAATTTTGGATAATCTAAACCGTCCGAATAAATTTAAATAACGTTCATACCAGTGGCTTTCGGTGTCAACCAGGGCGGTCGATTGGTTCCAGGCCAACACTTGAGAGTCTGAGGTCCCCAAAATTTCAGCCCTGAAATTCCCGGGAAGTGACCTTTTCCGACCCTTTAAGCGTCTGGGAAAGCCCTCAACTCAAAACTTGAATTCAGGGCTACACTTCAACATTCAGGGTATAAGGACGTGGTGCAGATCAGGGCGATCTGAGTCCGCAAACTATTGCAGCCACAATCATTTTGAAACTACGAAGTGGCGGGCTTAAGGAATTATTCAGCCAGTCGATAACATCTCTGACGAGTCATGCGAGTGCTCTATCTGACTTGGTGGCAAAAGAAACTATCTTCCTGCTGGGATGGAAGGGAGACGAGGGGGAGAGGGGGGGGGTGTTGTCGAAGAGAAAGGCCCCGCCCTCGCTTGGGCGCAGCCGATCTCGCCGTCGACGGGAAGTTCTCGACGGATGGGAAGTGGTCTTCTGCAGTTTGACGGAAGTTGCAGTCGAGCAGGCTCTGCTCGACGGAATCTGGTCGACGAGCTCTGCGCGACGAGCTCTGGTCGACGATCTCTGCGCGTCGAACTTCCGTCGAGGAACTCTGGTCGAGGAGTTCGAGTCGAGGAACTCTGGTCGAAGAGTTCTGGTCGAGGAGCTCTGCTCGGCGAACTTTGTTCGATCGAGCGATGGCGAGTCCTTTGACCGAAGTTGCAGAGTTCTGCGAAACTCTGCGGAGGCGTGCGAACATTCGCCCAGGAGATTTTGGCGAAGTTCTACATGCGGAACGGCAGAACGTGGTCGACGGTGCGCACCTGGCGAAACCGACGACACGTTTTCTACCTGGCACCTGCGCAATGTGCCTGACGGTGAAACCGCCAACCTGCACCTACTTGGTAGGTGCGCACATCTGCGCAGATAGACTGTTAAAGTGAACGAGGAAATGGTTAGGTGCCATAGCTAGGTAAGCCCTAGCTAGGCAAGAGAGAATAAGCAAAGGAGCATTTTCACTAGCAGTAATGAGGATACATATAGCAAACCCTAGATGGGTTGTACTCGCTATGGAGCACCCCACTACAGGCTAGAGAATAACATTCTGACACACCCCCATAGCCAAAGTGGGGTGTAATCAGTACACTGAGCAAGCAGGTATAGAGCAGGAGTTTACAAAGGTAAGCAAAGCTAGAGCTAATCACAGAGGGCAAGTGAGGAGGAGGAGAGATTGTGGGGGAGAGAAGATGGGAGGCAACGACTGAAGCTGCAGAGGCACGGGCACAGGAGCGGCTGACTCAGTGGCTACCGAAGCAAGGGCGACGGACTACTGGAGTAACTGGCTCCGCGGCTATAGATGAGCGGCAGGAGCAACGGACCCACTGGCGACTGGTGCAACAGGCTCACTGGCTACCGAAGCAAGGGCGACGGACTACAGGCGCTGCAGGCGACACGACCGCTACCTCCACACAACCTCCTCCAGCTGCCCCACGCCCCTCTCACACACCCCCTGCTCAAGCCCTAGCTCCACTCCCACGGTACCCCCCTTAAACCCTAAACCCTAGGCTCCCACACACCCACCCCCCTCAGCGGCAGCTGCAGCAGTGGGAGACCAGGGAGGAGGAGGAGCAAGGGGAGTAACACACAACCGCCACCCCCACACTCCTCACCCCCAAACCCTAATTCAGGAGAACGGGCAGCAGCAGGGGTGGGGCACCGTCAGAAGCACGGGGGACAGCGAGCAGCTCAGGGACAGAGAGGAACGGGCCGCCCACGGGCCTGGCGCAGCCCGTACGGGCCGCGCGCGGGCCTGGCGCAGCCCGTACGGGCCGCGCGCGGGCCGGGCGTAGCCCGTACGGGCCGCGCTCGGGGCTAGCGCAGCCCGCGCTGGCCAGGACGGGCGACGGGGGACGACGGGCTGGTCCCCGTCGCCCGTCGAAGCGCCCCCCGGGGGCGACGCGCGGACCGACGGGGCAGAAGGCCGCCGCGCGCCTCGGGGCGCACGGCGGGCAGAGAACCGCCGCACGCCCCGGGGCGCACGGCGGGCAGAAAACCGCCGCGCGCCTCGGGGCGCACGGCGGGCAGAAAACCGCCGCACGCTCCGAGCGCGCGGCGGGAAGAGAAATCCGTCGCACGCCACGAGGCGTGCAACACACAGAGTAGCAGCGGAAGCAGCAGTAGGGCCCACAGGCCAGGAGCGTGAGTGCTCTGATACCATGTTAAAGTGAACGAAGAAATGGTTAGGTGCCATAGCTAGATAAGCCCTAGCTAGGCAAGAGAGAATAAGCAAAGGAGCATTTTCACTAGCAGTAATGAGGATACATATAGCAAACCCTAGATGGGTTGTACTCGCTATGGAGCACCCCACTACAGGCTAGAGAATAACATTCTGACATAGACAACCTGCGACTGCAGATAGTTACCTGCAACTGCAGATAGTTACCTGCGACTGCAGATAGTTACCTGCGACCGCAGATGGTCACCTGCGACTGCAGTGCTGGCAGACCGCGCGCAGTGCAACGTTG